AGAAGGTAAATTCTTCGTACGGAAGTGTGACAATGATCGCTGCCTCAGAGTGGACACCTACGAGGAACTTGAGAAACTTAAATAACATGTAAGTCAACATGAGTCAACCTACACTATTTTTGTCGAATAAAAAATATATATATAATGTTTGTTATCTCTTTATTGTTATTATGTTTATATATTCTATGAAATGTTTATTTTTATCTCAGGTTCTATTTACTTCTCTGTCATCAAGGAGCGTGACAGTTGTTTATCTTTATAAAACCGTACATATAAACAATTTATTTTTAGAGTTAAAAATGCATACTGTTTAAATGAATCATCACATACTGAAACACAATTCTCAATCCGAAATACAGGATTTCTTTTTGCCTGGGAACGCTACAAAAGAATTTAATTTAATATATACTAATATAAGGAGCTTGAGAAAAAATTTCAATAGCTTCATTGCTGAAATAAGTAGTATAAAACACAAAATACATTTCATTGTCCTTAGTGAAATTTGGATTGACAGTAATGAAGCAAATTTATATAGCATACCAGGATATAACCTTTTTACCTCATGCAACGATGAATACAGAGCTGGAGGTGTTTTGTGTTTTGTTGACAAATCAATAGAAAGTAAGGATGTAAAGTTGTCTTTTAACCCAAGATCAGCTGATATCTTATTGCTGGATATAAAAATGAACCAAGTGTATTTTAAGCTAGTATGCCTGTACAGATTACAACAAATTCCAGAAAACTCATTTTTAATAGATTTATCTCAGCTGATGTTAGAAATAAAAAATAATGCAATATATATTGGTGACATAAATATTAATCTTTTGGAGGAAAGTGCTATATCTGAAAGCTACAATAGTGTCCTAAACAATAATGGGTTTATATCCATAGTTAACTCTCCTACTAGAATTACTCACTTTACAAAAACATTAATAGACCACATTTTTGTAAGAAATAGATATATGCAACAGTTTTCCAGTGGAGTATTCGATTTAGGTATCACTGACCATTGTGTTCTAGGTCTTAAATTTAGATATTTGTCCAATACAAAAACTATAAACACATGTGATGATAACATAAACCTTAAGAAACAAATACTTGATTTTGATCTTGTAAAAACTAAGCTTAAGAATAATACTAACTGGGAAGATATTTATTCTGAGTTAGATGTAAACAATTGTTTTTGTATTTTTTATGAAAAATTAATGAACGTTGTTAATACTAGTAAAAAAACTGTTCATGTTGACTCTAAACTGAGGAAAGCAAAGTTATCGAGTCTTTGGATTACAAAAAACATTTTTAATCGAATAAAAAGGAGAAGAAAGCTTTATATACTTTCCAAAAAAAGACCATATGACACTGCTTTCAACACTTATTTCAAAAGATTTACAGACAATTTAAAAGTTGACATTGACTCAGCAAAAAACTTATATTATTCAAATAAACTTCAAGAATGTAATGGTAATATTGCCCAACAATGGAAAATTATTAATAACTTGACTGGAAATGTAAAAGATAAGAACATTGATAGGATTGAGCTAAACGATGGGACACTGATAACAGAGCCTGGCCTTATCGCCCAGGAAATAAACAACCACCTTGTCTCAATACAGGCTGGACAACCAATCACTTTCCCTGCAGCAATTCTACCTCCTATGTACATCTGTCCACAAACGTTTTTTATAGCACCAACTACAGTGCAGGAAATAAAGTCAGTTGTTGGTAATTTAAAGAACAAAAAATCTACTGGCTTTGATGGCATCAGTGTTAGTTTACTTAAACATATAATTGACGAAATATCTCTTGTTTTAGAATACATATTTAATATGAGTTTCAACAAAGGTATTTTTCCAGAGACACTCAAATTAAGTTTAGTTGTACCCATTTTGAAAAAAAAATAATTCTTTTAATTTAGAAAATCTCAGACCCATTAGCTTACTTTCAGTTTTTTCTAAAATACTCGAGAAGCTCATGATGATTAGAATTGAAAATTTTTTAAATAAAACACATTTTTTCAGTAATAAGCAGTTTGGTTTTATTAAAGGCAGGTCAACAGAAAGTGCTTTATTGGCAGTAACCGATCACATCTTCCAAGGATTAAACTCAAAACTGAAAACAACAGGTCTATTTATTGATTTTAAAAAAGCTTTTGACATGGTAAATCACAACATTCTTTTAAATAAATTGCAAAACGTAGGAATAAGAGGTACAGCTTTTGAGTGGTTTAAGAGTTTCATCACAAATAGGAGGCAACAAGTAAAAATAAACAATGACTACAGTAATCCTCTCATTGTACAAACGGGTGTGCCCCAAGGGTCAACGACCTCAGGTATTTTATTTTTAGTGTTCATCAACGATTTATTAAATCGACCTTTTAACGGAAATATCTTTGCTTTTGCTGATGACATTGCTCTTTTTTACACACAAAACGATTTGATGTTGATGGAAAATTTAATAAACGATGATCTTTTACTTTTAAGAAATTGGTATTTGATCAATAGAATGCAGGTAAATGTAAACAAAACCAAATTTGTTAATTTCCACTCAACCGGTTTTGAATTGCCATCTCCTTTAATTTTTCACTCCTCAAATTGCAGTCCACAACTATGTAATTGCCAGCCGTTAGAAAAAGTAAAATCTATAAAATATTTAGGAGTTCTACTCGATGAAAAAGTCACCTTCGAACCTCATATATTAAATCTACATGCTAAGATACGAACACAAATAAGAAAATTTTATTTTTTAAGAAATTTTTGTAACGAATCACTTTTGAGAACATTATACTTTGCACTAATCAACTCAAGATTGCAATATGCCTTGCCATGCTGGGGAGGAACTTATAAAACCTTGATAAATAGATTAAGAACAACACAAAACTTTTTTATGCGGATAATTTTGAAACAACCTAAAAGAACAAGTTCATTTCCACTCTACAAACAGTTAAAAATTTTGCCCATACAGCACCTTTTTGTTTTCAAAGTTCTTAGACTGTTTTTTGTTCGAAGTGGAAACAGAGTTAACGTCATACCAAATATTACACACACATACATAACAAGAAGCATTACCAATAATACTCTGGAACTACCCAAAGTAAATAAAGCTATTTTTCGTCACTCTTTTCAATATCTAGGTCCAAAATACTATAATTATCTACCACTTCAAATAAAGAATAGTTTAAATTTAAAGCATTTTAGCAAAGCAACGATAATTTGGCTTTCTTCTCAGCAGGACATAAATTATATCAATAATATCCTGTTGTAATAACTTTCATTGTTTATTAAAACAGTTCTTGTTTTGTCCATCAGATGCACAGTTCAGGCGGAATTCAATGTTTTATAACAGATGCTAGACCATAAATTACAACGTCATGTTAGCCGATAAGTTAGTATAAGCAAACTGGTTACACTACTGGATCAAGTAGCCAGTTCTATTTCTCTACATCTCATGTATTGTTATATTGTGGGTTTTTGTGGGAAATAAACTTCATTATTCATTATTCATAGTCGTCCTACATAAATCATACATTTAGTAATGCAAGAATAGTGAGCCTGTTTGCAAATAAAATACTATCCTTGTGTGAAAGTAAGATTTTTTCCCTTTTTTAGCTGCCTATTTTCCTTGCATTTGCCCGTCCACATATACTTATTGCCTGTGGGTGGAACGTATCCAGCAAAGCAAGGGGTGAGCCTTTACAGTACGAAGGTGAACTGTACTGATAAAATGTTTGCGGCAGTGACCAGGATCCGAACCCACAACCGTCGCTGCCTTCGGCCCGAAGTCCGTTAACCTACCGACTGAGCCACAGACTCACCAACAATCACAGTAGTACCAATTGTTATACAGTAGTTGTGGGGCATATGTATTTTCGTGGGATTTTGAATTGAGCAATTGTATAATTTCCGGTGACAAAATGGTAATGAAATTTAGAATCGTGTACTACCGGGCGTTTTGTCATCAAGTGTGGCGTGGCCTAGCTGGTGTGTGACGTCATATTCCAAGATGGCCGCTAACAGTGACATTGATGCATTTCTAGCAAAACCTAAAGTGAGACATGGACCTTATTCATTTAACATTTAATTATTTTTATTTGGAAATTGTTCTTTAGTTAAAGACATATAATTGCATCATACACCAGCTCAGCCACACTTTCTGACAAAACACCTGGTATTACACGATTCTATATAGCTCGTACCTATCTGTCATATAATTGCTTCATTCAAAATCCCATGAACTTTCCTATATTTACAAATGCCCCTACACTATTATGCCTGAATATTATGCCGATAAAAAATGTTAAGTATTTTCATAGAGTCCCGAAAAAAGCTTTCTTCTATTTATGCTTTTTACTTAAACAAGTAGCAAAAAATATCGAAATGTAATTTTTTAAAGTATGAACTCATGTGAATCTATAAAAAGTAATAGGACTATCAATTGATGGCTTAAACTGAACATTGTAAGAAGGTTAAGAATACGTATTTCCCAACAACAATAAGAACTATTAAAAATCTTTGCCAATGTAAAAAACTATCTTTTTAAATCCGTAATTTATTTCCAAAACAATATCTTTTGAAAATATCAAATATTACTGCAGAGTTATGCGCTCGATTTCCCTACGTAGATTGTACAAATGGTCAGCCCGGCGTTGGAAGTTTCAGCAACAGCTTTGATAACATATAAAGGAGGAACACTTAAAATTGAAAAAGTTAAATAAAGAAAATAATGATAAAATATAATAACGAAATAATAAATAGTAAAGAAAAATTTGTCAAACAATTTTACTCAAGAAAGTTACCTGTTGACATCGTCAAAAGTAAATTTGTATTTCTTAAAAATTTATTTTACTATACTATGATCTACGTATACTCTAATATAGGATGGTAATTTTATAATCATCTATTCTCTTTTAGTTTTCAGACACTTATGCGAATTGAAATAGTGTCCGTTTAAAAGTATAACACTAACATTTTTACTCAGCAGTTCTAGGAATCAATGAGCTAAATAAATAGTTAAAACAAGAACCGTTCAAATAATTTATTCTGCCAAAATAATAAAATACAACACACATAAATAGTTTAGCTTACTTCAGACTAACATAGTTGTTAGCTGGACATCATGACCATAATATAATATCTTCTTCCATTTCCATTGGTTTTACTGACGAATACTGTGTTGGTTAATCTGTTGTTGTTGGTTGCTCTGTTGTTGTTGGTTGCTCTGTTGTTGTTGGTTGCTCTGTTGTTGTTGGTTGCTCTGTTGTTGTTGGTTGCTCTGTTGTTGTTGGTTGCTCTGTTGTTGTTGGTTAATCTGTTGTTGTTGGTTGCTCTGTTGTTGTTGGTTGCTCTGTTGTTGATAACTTATTATAATAATCGCGCATGATCCCATCAAACTTCAATATTGACTCGTTGAAAATGTCCCATTGCTGGGCAGTATAAATATTAGGAAACGGTGTCACTGCATAATGGTCCCCATTTTCGCCAAACAAACATCTTGTACAGTTATACATAGTCTTCTCTGCATCCAGTATCAATCTCGAACGCCTTAGATCATAACAAGTCTTTTCTTCAGGCATTTTTGGGGCAGCAAATCTAGAGAAATAATATTTTCTGAACTCACCCATTACCTTTTCCCACTCCCACTCAATATTCTTTCTTGCTAGCGCAGCACATTTTTGAATAGTTGCTAGGTTGAAGATTTCTATAGGTCTTTGTCCAATGCATCTTAAGACTGCAACATTCCCTGCTTCTTGAAGCTTTGAGTTAAATGTTTTGATTGTGTTTTTAAATGTATCAAAATCTTGAATATACTGATTCTTGTAGTATTCACAGCACTCCTGGTTGTCCTTTCCAGCTGAAACGTTATTGTTTATGTATTAATATTAAAAACAATATCTAGAACAGTTAAAAATATTTAATAATAGTTTTCAAAAGCAATAATAAAAATTATCACAAAATGTGTAACTAATACGGTAAAACATTAATAAACAGTTTAAGAAAACTTACTTATTAGATTGCTAACCTAAACAAACGTTGGTCGTTTTTTATTTGTACAATAGTTATGATTTCCAAAAATCAATTTTCAAGTGAGTATTCTTATACTGAAATGTAAATCAATAAAATATAAAAATGTATGATAGAAAAACAAATAACCGATTACTACCTTCAGCAATATACGTTGTCAATGATTTATAAGCTTCCGAATTACAAGCTCTCTCTTTCTCAGATCTGTTTTCTTCCCAGGTCTTATTTAAGGCAATAAAGTAGGGGTAAAGTAGGCTTGTATAGTTAGCTTCATTGTTGATTGCCAAGTTATAGTTCTCTCGTGCAATTTGTGAACTATAATATGCCAGAGCTTCGGTTAGCTTTTTATCGTACGCAAAGTTGAGAGCCTTGTAAAAGTGTGCGAAAGATGACAACGCATCCTTGGATAGCGGACCGTAGTTGTCCTGCTTCTGAAATAACAAAAGTGGTAAAGGGTAAAAATATTGTAAAATCAATGTAAAAATATATATTAAAGAGTAAAACTACTATAGTTTTCTTTATGTGGTTAGAAACCAAATAGCATCCACTGAGATGTATGTTAGGAATTGAAGGATGAGGTGACTATCAATTTAAGAATGGAGGCCTATATAGTTTAGTATTTTGCTATTATCTGTCACACATAAACTTTTCACGTTTGTGTTGTTCGTTTCTAGCTTTTCTTAGCAACTACAAAATTAGAGATGAAGCGATTTCTTTGAATATTAAATTATTTAAGTGCGAAAAAATAAACACATGGAACCCAAACAGTAAAGATATTATTTTTACCACGTAGATCTCTAGGCCAGTTTCTTGGTTCAAATAAAGAAAAATAAATCAAGTTTTAAGAATCATGTAAACACTATAAGTCCTCTTCTCTTTACTCTTTATGTTTATTGGGTTTTTTTTTATTTTTGTTAGTAAAAAGTTAATATTTTTAGTTTGCAGATTCTTCTTATATAAATAACTATTAAAAATTCACATAACGATATACTATATAAAGAATGTCCGAACAAATACTATGTATATAAAAACATACACTTGTCTAATTTTAAAACCATCCACTCATATTGAAATAACTTAAGTGTATGTTTTAGAAATTTTAGACTACTGTATATGTTTTTTTATCTTGGTAACCCAAGATCTTCTTTCACAAACTGGATATTCCACATATCGACAAAAAGTTTGGATGTAGACCTTGTCTTTACTTACTTGATAAACTTGATGATATCCAACGCAAGATCGTATTTCATTAAAAATTTTTTCTCTTTTATCTGCTATTTCATTAAATACTTTGTAAGTACAGCTCAGAATATCATCAGTGAAATGGGCCATACATTTGCTTTCCGTGAATGTTTTACAGGCTTCTTTAGTTTCTATTTGAGTTCCGTTGATTAATTTTTCGATGCACTGATCTCTATGTGTTTCTGCATTTTTATTGCTATACACTAAACAGTCATCTATGCTATTTAGCGTATGGTTAATAGCATTCTTGTATTTCAATCTTTTCTTATCCATATCTGTTGTGATGTCATTTTGTATTATTGAAGACGTTGCAGTGCATCTTAAGAAACTGTGATCCGCTGAAACATTTTCAATTCCAAATATTAATTAAGTCCATCATAAAACAGTCTACTTTAAGAGTAAAAAACCGTAAAAGTATTTCATGTTGAAATAAACATTATCACGAATGAAATAAAAATGTTTATCGTTGGAAATATTTATTTGACTCATTTTATAAATTTAAATCTGTATCTAAAGCTTAAATGATAATATTAGTATCATTTCATATACCAGTAAGCTCAATTTTATGCTTTGGTGGGTTATATTATACGGTATACCTTTCTACCTTGAGTGTAAAAATTTAAAGCGGTGGAAATTCTGTCTATGCATTATTTTCTTTCGAATTGCTTGGATATCGTTAAACAATCCAGTACAATTGTTTTTTTAAGGTCTATTAAGGTACAAGATTGTATTCAGATGCTAACTGCCCAGGGAAATACTAAGCCAGTAAATTGCTCGATGTTTTACAAAACAGTTTAATGCTATATACAAATCCTATGAATTTTGTGTAATATATATTCGTATAGGCCTAGTATTTAATTCAAACAATGTCATTTTTTATTATATTGGTTGACATACCTCTGAAATGTACTTTTTCGTCACACAATAGTTAAAACGGTTTTTTCAATGCATACTTTGCAGGTCTAAACTAGCTCTAGGGAGTAAAAGGCGTTTTAGCCCCTAGGGAGTAAAGATAACCTGTAGTGAACTCAGTTATGATTTCGATTGTAAACAGTCGCATGTATAAAAAGTATTTGTCGATAAATAGTTGGACATATCTGTAGTATAATGTTCACTAACACACTCGTAATGGACGAAACGATTGAATCACTTACTAAATATTTGTTTCGATTAGCATAGAAGTAGTTTTGAGAGGTTGTAAACAAAAACTATTTTAGCTTTGTAAAACACATTTTGTTCATATAATGGAGCAATATGGTGGAAAATATAGTTTATTATACTAGCACAAAAAGTTTTTTTTCAACCCACGCTTATTTTGCTTCGCTTCGATCAAATAAATTAAGCTCGGGTCGAAAAGAGTCACTTTATGCCCTAGTTATTAACATACTATTGTATTCGTTATGTATTATTATCGTTACATTTATACAGTGACACACACTTAGGAGTGTATTTTAAGCTAAATATTAATGCAAAAAAGTGTAGAACGAAGCAAGATGATCTGAGTGAGTGTGTAGCTTTGTAAGTGAATAATATCAGCTGCTTGCTTTAACAGGGATTTTTATTTTTATGTTTTTTTTTCTTATTTGATTTAAAGCCAAATAGTTTTATCAAGCTAGTTTTTTGGTCAAAGATATCATTGTTACAATACTGAGATTTGTTTTCATTCGCAGTAAGTCCTTAAGATCAAATTACAAATCTTTTTGCATAATCGGGAAAATTCTATATAGCGGTTTCAATAAACTTACCATCATCGACAGCTTCCTTAATTTGGTATGTAATATCTTCGCTGCACCTCTGTATTTTCCTGTCTTTAACACGTCTAGTTTTATTTAAATGTCTTGTTGCATCAATCATAAGCAAGTTCAGGTCATCTACCATGTTTGCTCTCATCAGATCTAATACTTTCTCTACCTCCTGACATGTAAGATTTTCTGTCGTCCACCATCTCTCATAAATATGCTCGTGTGCGAATACAACCATTTCTTTAGATGTTTCAACCATTTGTTCCGGAGAAAGGTGTTCTAAAGATACAGTATTATAGACAAAATATCTTACGTCACCAGTAACAATTGCCTGCAACAAACAAAAACCATACTAATATTTAGTGATATCCTAAGTTATATGTATTTGGAAACTACATCACACATTGACAAAGGATTGAGCTTTAGATAAAATATGTTGAAAATAAATACCAAGCTATACATTGAGTTATCATAGTTAAGAAAGTGTTTTATATTTTTCAAATATAATTGTACGAAAAATTTTGAATTTAAGATTGTAATAGTCTAACTTTTTTATACTGAGGGAAAAATCTATGATTCAATAATTTAGGCCTATACCGTTTGATAAAAAAAAAAACGATAGAATAAAAAAAATATAAACTTGAATATTTTTGTAGTGAGGTATTTATGGTATTTATCAAGCTATTTTATAAACCAAACCGATAATGTCAAAAGAATAATCTTAAAGCTGTTAATTATGTATTTAAGCTAACACAATATTTCAAATATATTTATAGAACAACAAAAAAACAATATGATATATGAAATTTAACATGTTATAATTAAATCCATACGACAATCTTTAAACTAAAATGACAATTTGTTATAAGTTGTAAAACTGTCACATTAACTGGATGCTGTGGCAACGTAATTCCGAGTTTTTATTTTATGTAATTATGGTGGAATAAATCATCATTTCATTATTTCATTATTTCAACTTGCTCCTTTGGTAAAAGAATTGTAAAGTTGTTCATAAGTAAAACATACATGTAATAACTATCACCAAAATGTTAAACATGTGTGATTTTTTCTGTATATTGTAATTATTTTAATGACTTATTTTACTTCTACGTTAATAATTTCCTTGGCAATAAGGTATGCCTACAGTATTGTTGCAGTAAGACCTTTAGGATAATTTTTTTATGTTTTTTTTCGACAACAATCGTCAATAATCAATTTTGTTCTCAAACTTCTTTTTGTCCTCACCTGCATATCCAAATAACAAATAATTTTTACATGATCATTTTCTTAAATTCCATTTTATATATAGCTTTAACAAAAATAAAAATAAACAAATGTAAACATTTTTACTTACAAAGCATAGCCACAAAACTCCTATACAAAGCATGGTGGACGACTTCTCCATGGTTTAAACTATGCTCTGATTGGGAATGACACTGAAATAGTACAAATTAATTAGTTATAATACATATCAACCAAAACAGAGCAATAAGACAACTTAGTGGTTCTTCTTCTTTCCCCTAAGAGACTAGTTTCTAGTCAGGTACCCTTTTCACATACCTCCATGCTATTTCTAGGGATTGCTGTATTATCACTCAAATAAAATCCATAGGTGATTGGCGGGATACAAACGCAGGACCTAAGAAACCAAAGTCCCGCGCTTTTCCACTAGACCAGCTTTTTCTCACAGCTTAGTACTTAGTGGTTACAACTAAGTTAACTACAAGTCAAAACCAAATCCATCCAATAAGGGTTAAACATTTATGCTGTACACCCTAAAACAAATACTTAGATAAATCCGTTTATGTAAGAAATAGTTTTTTTTTTTTGCATTTTCAGGCAATTTCAACTCACACAATACTACGATCATCCTCCTTAAATATACCGGTTTCAGGTAATTTTCATACACTAGTTTCAATTTAAATTTAGTTTAGACATTAAAGTTTGTCTTATTTAAAATTTACGAAGTTTAGAAGCTGGACTATACATTCAACTATCAGTCCTGTTACGTTCCAAAGCATTACGTTATTGTGTATCTCTATGTTGTTTTAAAAATTGTATAGGTATACCTGTGGATAGTGTATTTTTCAATAAAACATTTATTTATGGATAGAAAACAACATAAAATGGCTAAGGTAAAGTTTAGTCAAAAGACACACGGTAAATATAAAATAATCCCAACAAAATAAACCAAAAGTAAAGATATACTCACAGTTGTAGTTCTTAAAACGTAATATTTTCAAATAGATCCAACTCTTATATAAAAAAATACAAAGAAAAAATCTTCTATATATTTGTAAAGTAAAATATATTTTCAATGTATTTATAACTTACCTTTTCTCACTGCCAAGTCCCAGCTCTCAATGCCAACATCAGCGAAGTTGTTGGTTATATACTCATGTCGATTGTCCGATTGTGCCATTTTCATGGTCTGATAACACTAATAACTTACATAAACAGGCAGCTTTCAAAGAACACCAGTAAAACTTCTGACGTTTTGGGATACCGCCATGTTAAATATATTCCCATTGTGACAAAAAACGATTTTATTTGTTTACAAGCTTATTTAATAACCTGATGACTAAATAGATATATTAACGATGAAACTGTTTTTTTTTTCATCATGTCTCTAGGAACCAAAATACTTTGTAAGGAGTTTTCCGTCATAAGTTTAAATAAATAAAAACTCTTGCTCACAAATTAGAAACAACAGTCTTGTCTATTCCGTCAAAATAGATAGATCAATGATGTTACAGGTATGATACAATGTATCATCTTTACAGGCTATACAACTCAGCTATTTAATCACGTTTTTAAGTAACTTACCTGTATAATATTTATTTCTAAATATAATATTATGTTATAATTATTTATCAATTTATACAACCTATTAAATCAATTCAAAACAGCCTTTTAATTTTAATTAGTTATTTTATTAGATTTTACATTTCTTATACAACAATTTTAAAAAGTAATAAGAAAATGTACACAGAGTAGTCAGGGCAGCGATCTAGCAGAAATTTGACCTTGAGATGATCTAGGTGTACTCTCAGCTGTTTGCGCATGATCAGCTGATCACGTGACGTCAACTGATGTTTTGAGGATAAAAAGTGTTGGCCTGACCGGGTTTCGAACCCCGGTCTCTTTGTTGGTAGTTGTATGCGTTAGCTGGTTGAGCTACAGCAATGTTATGGGTATGGAGTTTTATATTGGTAAATGACACCTTGTATCTTATATATATACAGGGTGTGTTGGAGGTTTGATTTTAATATGGTTCACGGGTTCGAATCTAACCTAATATCATTTCTGGTTATTTAATCCTAATGGTATTGTATTATAGTGGGAGGTTCATGGGTTCAACTCTTACCAATCACAAAACATGCTATTAGAGGTTTAATACCGGATGTAATCTAACCACAGCTGTTTATTTCAGCTGATTACTTGGTTTAGAGGTTCATGGGTTCAATCCTAGTAGGTCTGGAAAAATACTTTATATAGTGTATAATGTTTAAGCGGAACTTTACTGTTGAGTATAAAAGAATGTTAAATGTGTAGTAGTATTGGAGGTTATTTTATATAGTGTATAATAAATGTAAAACAAATAGATGTTAAAAACAGCTGAAAGAAGGCTTAAGTTTACCATTGAGTATAAAAAATGGCCTTTGTAAAGGCCACCAAATATTATATGTTAAACTTATATTTAATCTATGCTAAATGAGTTACTTTAGTTTGTTTTTTGTATAGTGTTGTATTGTAGTGGGTGTCCTAGAGGTTCACGGGTTTGATTCTTACTAATCACCGATCATTTCCGGTTATTTAATCCTAACCTAATGGTATTGTATTATAGTGGGAGGTTCACGGGTTCGAATCTAACCAACCACTAATGCTATTATAGTGGGAGAATCCTAACGCACAGCTGTTTATTTCAGCTGATCATGTGACTTAGTTTAGAGGTTTACGGGTTCAATCCTAACCTATCATTTAGAGGTCTATGGGTTCAAACCTAACACACAGCTGTTTATTTTAGCTGATCACGTGATTTGTTTTAGAGGTCTATGGGTTCAATTCTAACCAACCACAACTGTTTATTTCAGCTGATCATCTAGTTTAGAGGTTCATGGGTTCGAATCTAACCTATGATAGAGGTTTATGGGTTCAATCCTATCCTAGTAGGTCTGGAAAAAAAACACATTATATAGTGTATAATGCTTAAACCTTACTGTTGATCATAATGGTAAATGTTGGATGTTATATTATATATGTTGTAGTGTATAATAAATGTGAAACAAATGATAATTTATCTATCTGATATTAAAAACAGCTGAAAGAGGGCTTAAGTGGAATTTTACCACTGAGTATAAAAATGGTCTTTGTAAAGGCTATTAAATATCATATGTCAAACTTACATCTAATCTATGCTAAACGAGTTACTTAGGTTGTTTTTTGTATAGTGAGAGGTTCATAGGTTTGATCCTTAGCGGGTTATATGAATTTATGTATGTAACCACAAGTGAAACAGGTCTATTATACTAGAGTACTAGTGTTGATGGTATAATTATAATAATGATTAACTTGATATAAGATTCATCATAACAGATTACTCTGAGTTGAGGTATTAGTTTATAAATTTTCTACTAGGTTGTAGCACTAGTGCTACCAACTACTGATTATATTGTATATGTAACATAACCTCAAACAAGTCTATTAATTTATTATTAAACGTTATAGGGAGTGTATATTATGTTGTTGTGTATAATGCTTAAGTGGAACTTTACTGTTGGGCATAAAACTTAATCTAAATATGTAGTAGGTTTATAGGATTGATTTTAACTAACCATAATTGGTATTGTATTATAGCGGGAGGTTCATGGGTTTAATACTTTGTAAAAAAACATTTTATTTTATATATGCTATAGTGTATAATAAATGTGAAACAAATAGATGTTAAAAGTGGGCTTAAGCAGAACTTTACCATTGAGTATAAAACTTATTCTAAATGTGTAGTAGGTTTTTAAGGGTTTGATCTATACTAAATGTTATAGGGTGTGTATATATGTTGTAGTGTATAATGCTTAAGTGGAACTTTACCGTTGAGCATAAAACTTAATCTAAATATGTAGTAGGTTTATGGGATTGATTTAACCAACCACAAATGGTACTGTATTATAGCGGGAGGTTTATGGGTTTAATACTTTGTAAAAAAACATTTTATTTTATATATGCTATAGTGTATAATTATAAATGTGAAACAAATAGACGTTAAAAGTGGGCTTAAGCAGAACTTTACTATTGAGTATAAAACTTATTCTAAATGTGTAGTAGGTTTGTAAGGGTTTGATTTATACTAAATGTTTGTGTGTATTAGGGATGGACGGGATTGAATTTTTAGTTCGGGACGGGACGGGACGGGATTTTTATTTCCTTCCCGATTTTCGGGACGGGACGGGACGGGATTTTTTTCTGTGCATAAAAAGAAAGTACTGTATTGCAGTTACCAAAAAAGACATAAGAAATCAATTTTTACCATTTGTGGCACTGATCTATAAAAACCAAAAAATGGGTAACAATTTACAGGTACCTATAGAAACTTGTGACTCGCGGGTCACGGGGTGATCGTCTGTATGACTCGCGGTCACGGTGCGATCGTAGTCATGACTCGCGGTCACGGCGCGATCGTCGGTATGACATCGCGGTCACGGGGTTATCGTCGGTATGACTCCACGGTCACGGCGCGATCATCGTCATGACTCGCGGTCACGGCACGATCGTCGGTATGACTCGCGGTCACGGCGCGATCGTCGGTATGACTCCACGGTCACGGGGTTATTGTCGGTATGACTCCACGGTCACGGCGCGATCGTCGGTATGACTCGCGGTCACGGCGCGATCGTCAGCATGACTCGCGGTCACGGCGCGATCGTCGTCATGACTCACGGTCACGGCGCGATCGTCGTCATGACTCGCGGTCACGGCGCTATCGTCGTCATGACTCGCGGTCACGGCGCGATCGTCGTCATGACTCGCGGTCACGGGGTTATCGTCGGTATGATTCCACGGTCACGGCGCGATCGTCGGTATGACTCGCGGTCACGGCGCGATCGTCGGTATGACTTGCGGTCACGGCGCGATCGTCGGTATGACTCCGCGGTCACGGGGTTATCGTCGGTATGACTCGCGGTCACGGCATGATCGTCGGTATGACTCGCGATCACGGCTCGATCGTCAGCATGACTCCGCCATCACGGCGCGATCGTCGGTATGACTCGCGGTCACGGCGCGATCGTCGGTATGACTTGCGGTCACGGCGCGATCGTCGGTATGACTCCGCGGTCACGGGGTTATCGTCGGTATGACTCGTGGTCACGACGCGATCATCGGTATGACTCGCGGTCACGGCGCGATCGTCGGTAGGACTCCGCGGTCACGGCGCGATCGTCGGTAGGACTCAACGGTCACGGCGCGATCGTCGGTATGACTCGCGGTCACGGCGCGGTCGTCGGTAGGACTCCGCGGTCACGGCATAATCGTCGAAATGACTTCGTCTCCTGCGTTCGCGGACCTATCGCTCGCAATAACGGCGTTATCGGCACTCGCGAAGCGGAAAAATCGCCGACGATCGGACCAAATCCCGTCCCGAAAAATTCCCGAGTCAAATGTAATCCCGTCCCGATAATCGGGAATATTTTTTTTCCGAAAAATTCCCGAAATTTCGGGACCCGTCCATCCCTAGTGTGTATATATGTTGTAGTGTATAATGTTAAGCGGAACTTTACCGTTGAGCATAAATGGTAAATACTGTTAAATGTTGGTTGTTGTGTGTTTTGAGGTGTGTAAAAATGTGTTCTTGGTATAGTGGGAGTTTTAGAGGTTATGAGTTTAATCCTAATCAAATGTGTTATTTTTGATATTGTATTGTAGTGGGAGGTTTATGGGTTTGATCTCTAGCTGATTATGTGATTTTGTATATGTAACATAACCTCAAGCCAAATAAGTCTATCACTAAGTGTTAATGGTGTTTTATTTTAAGTTGTTATAGTTTACAAATCTCTATTAGGTAGCAGTGTCTTATTAACTACTGACTATATGATCTTTTATAAATGTTACATAACCTCACTTTTTACCTTAAAAGGTTTATTAATTTATCACTGGAGCGCTAGTGTTGATGGTATGGTAACAAGATTATAGTAATGATTAATTTGATATAGGATTCACTATAATGGATTACACCAATGTATTATTTGTACCACTTAAATCTCTTTAGTTTACAAATTTTCTACTAGGTTGTAGCACTAGATCTCTTTAGTTGTCATAGTTTACAAACTCTCTATTAGGTTGCAGCACTAGCATCTAGAAAGCTACTGTTAGCCT